TAGCATGTGGTTGCCTCTGCATGCACTCTTCTTTCTTGCAGCTTAACACTTCACATTTTGAGAGTGGTTCCCAACCCCCTTCCCACCTTCAATGCTGTGCCTCTCAATGCTCAGATCGCATTCCTCTGCCAAGCTCTCTTACAGGGTTCCCACAATCTGTGCCAGTCTTTGTATTCATTCTTTCTCCTCCTCAAAACTGTGAACCGTGGCGGTATGGACTTTGTTTTCTCTGAATCTATGGCTTTGGGACACTGTATCTAGAAATACATTGGAATCACTGAATGAATCTTCTTGCATTTATTACTTGGAAGTTCAGGAAATATCTTTGTATAAAGGCAAAAGATAAAAGTCACAGACCTAAGAAGTTATCTTGTCAGTCCCTTTTTATTTATAGATGAAGAAGCCAAAACCCAGAGAGGTCGATTTTGAGCCGTTGAGACCAGGCCTTTGCTTGTTTTTAACACAGCCTCCCAGGAGTATTTCACTCCTGCTCTGTCTGGTTTGGCTCTAGTCAGGTGCTGCACCATGCACCACTCAGAAACTTAATGTAGCTCAGTGGGAATCTGAGAAAGAGCCATTAAACCACTCAGAACTGGAAATGGGATGCCAGAACCACAGACTGGAGATGCCCCTTGAATAGGAAAATGACCCAGAGCCAAATGAAATAAGTTCTGAGCAAGATGGTGGCCAGTGTGTGCAAATGAGTGGCCTGATAAGAAGGTGATCAAACTTTGAGATGCTAGAGTTCCAGAAAATAAGGCACTGAGATGTTTAAGACACTTCTCTACTTATTTGACAGTTTTATAAAAGGCCAGGAATGGCTGCTGTACATTTACTGTTCTATATAATAATTTATGTGTCTTAACAGTATTCTTCCAATGTCATTAATTACTCCATTTACATATATTTTTGTGTAATTCATAAATTCCTACAAACAAGCAGTGCAACTAGAATCATAAAGTTTTATTCTCCAGAACCTTAACTCTGTTTTCACTAAAAACACAAACATGCCAATATGTTGGTTATTTTCCTATGTAGTTCTCCTATTAATTTTGTTTAAGAAAAATGTCTCTTGAATGTGAACTATCTTGTACCCTACTTATTATTTTAAACTGACTAAAATAAACACTTATAGTTATATTTCTAAGTGTTTGTTTAGCTGTGCTATTTTATTTGCCATTTATTTTAGGTGGATTGTGTTCTTCTGGCCTCAAGAGTCCTCCAAATTTAATAACAGCACTGTTTGTATACATTCTGTGGGGTTTGAGGAAATGAAAAGAACTTGTTTGTTGTTTCAGTATCTTATTTGGCTCAGGCTGCTATATCAAAAATGCTACAGATTGGGAGGCTTAAACAGCAAACATTCATTTCTCATAGTTCTAGAAGCTGGAAAATCCAAGATCAAGACACTGGCAGATTTGGTATCTGATGAGAGCCCACTGTCTGGCTCATAGATGGCATCTTTTACCAGTATAATGGCATGGTAGAAAAGTAAAGGGAGATCTCTGTTATAAGGACACTAATCTCATTCATGAGGGCCCCACCCTCATGACCTCATCACCTCCAAAAGGCTCCACCTCCCAATTTATCACACAGGGAATTTGGGCTTTGACCTATGAATCTGGGGGATGGGGGTGGGAGAACCTTCAGTCCATAGCATTCACTTTAGTTGAGATAAATTTAAATTATTCCTGTCCCTAATCCACCTCTCCTGAGGATACATGATTCAATTGAAGTTTTAATGTTACTTCTGATAGAAACAAAGAGGGGTTCTTACCAACTCCCAGTGCCTGTCTAACAGTGGCCTGGTTGTGACAGAATGTCAAGATGGTAGATCCTCCCAAAAGCCCACTCCCTTGAGCCTGAAGTAGTATATCATCGAAAAGTCAAATGGAAGAACATTTGCACCCGGCACAGCTGGGTAGAGAATGTTCAGTCCATTTTAGCTGGAGAATATAAAACTTTATATTAGGAGACCCTGAAAGATAACCCATCAAAGGCCATTCTTTTAGATGCATGAAGGAATGGAAACCCAGAAATGAAGACTTTGAAGATCTTATTAATTATTATGAGTTTTTAACAGTAGCTATTAACATGAGATTTATGTCCTCTAATTGCAACGTATTTCCCAATCTCATTCATCTTCTTCTTCTATTTTTTTTTCCCTTACCCAAGAATATTTTTCCATTGAATTTTGAGTAAGTGGGAGAGGGAGAGACACACAGAGAGAAACACTGATGTGAGAGAGACACATCAATTGGTTACCTCCTACAGAGGCCCCAACCAGGACTGGGGATCGAGCCTGCAATCAAGATACATGCACTTGACTGAAATGGAACTCTCCACCCTTCAGTCCACAGACCAAAAGTCTATCCACTGCACCAAACTGGCTAGGGCACATTGAACTTCTTATTTATTATAGTTACCCTCCCTCAATTTATAAATGCGTAAGGAAAACAAATGATTGCCCCAATGGTGAAATTACATCAAAGCTAAGATAAGCTGTTCTGGAGGTTCAGCCAGGCCCTCCAGAACATAACATGGGAAAAATCACCCAACTTTGCCTTGCCTCAGCTTTCCCATCCGAGAAGAGGGTTCCTCCACTGCTCTGCATTGGTAAAAGAGCTTGCTATTCATGCACATGGCCAATAGAAAACACTACATTTTTTCAGGTAAATTAAAAGGTCCTAACTATCACACGAGTGTGGAGTTTTGAGCTCACATATATTACAGTCTCTGGCTGAAAGAGAAAATTTAATAGTAAATACCTTTAGCAATAAAAACAGGTGTACAACCGAAGAGAAGGAGAAAGAAAAGTGTGATTAAAAGAAAGGTAAAAATTTTAAAATAATAAAGCTCAAACTTGATACTTAAAAAAATATATTTTTTTCTAAGTAGGTGAGTAACGGGTGGTAGTCCACTGGAATTTTTGTCACTTTCTTAGGAAAGCAGTAGTAGCTGGGAATGTCTGGCAGTAGCCTCTTCTCCAGCTGACTCCTGCACTTGGAACATAGATCACTGTCCCAAAGTGCTAACTCAGCAGGCCCACCTCTTGGCTCAAGGGGCATCTATCCAGCTGGGACCAAGATTATGTGACAGGAAGGTCCTCATAGAGTGTGCATGGGCACTGGCTGGCACTGGCTGGCCCTGGCTCATGCTCTCCCTGAGCTCTGAAATGTGGAAGCATCTGTCAGTCTAGGCAGGTGTCCTCACATCGCTGACATGGAAACAGGCAGCTAGTCTGGGAAGATAGGAGTAAGAAGTAACACAGCGGGAAGGCCATGGTCTGGTGGGTTCACAAAGAAGAGAGAGACTGAGACTCTGAGAGAGGCCTGAAGAATTCCCCGGCACTAACTTAATTTCCTGGTCCGACAGGAACATGTGGGGATCGTTTTGCTGATCATGGTTCCCATGGGATGGCAAGTCTGATAAGCAATTTTTATAACTCTGATTTCCCTCCAAGTGCTAAGTATGCTTCCATATTTCATGAAAGCCTGCTCTGGAGTCAGTCCTGACTGGGAGAAACCACCTGTGAAGCCAACACAAAGGCCTTTATTTCATTCAGTCTCATATCTAAATATTCTATTTCTCTGACCCAAGCCTCTCTTTCTCCCTTGTTTGGCACAAGTGCCCCCTGCGTCCATCTGCATCCTGACTGTGCCCCTCACTCAGTGAGGGTCAGGCTTCCTGAACTTTGGTGGTCCAGAGAAGAGCAATCTGAGCAAAAAGTGATGAAGGCGGGAAACAAGGCTCTGATGTCACTGGCAGGCAGTCTCCCCTTGATAATATGAATGGGTTGCAAAGAGGGTGTCTACAATCAGAAGGCTGATGGTCACTGATTCTTGAAGCCACTTCTGATTTCAACCTTTCCCTTTTGGGATCAGATGTGTCCTTGTTCTGAACACATCTGATTCCATAAGAGCTCCTTACTCATGTTGATTTCCTGGCTTTGCCTATTTGAGGTGTGGAAGGCGTCTTAGACTTTGCAAACATGTGCCCACTTCCTGCAGAGAATGCACAGGTTGATTCCTGTATGTCAGCTGTCAGACACTCGCTGTGCTGTGTCTCTCCCAGTCCAGCACTGGGAGAGCCTACTTTATTGCCCCCCTGGAGGATCGGGAGCAAAGAAAGCTACAATTATGATGAAGGCTAAAAAGTGCCCAGCAAAAGTTTTGCCATTTTACTGGCCAACCACCATCACCAAGACAGGCAGGTAAAACACATCCATGCGGAGTTGTCCTCTTTATTATAAGCATTTAGTTTACTGGAATAAATAGGAGAATATCCACTGGCAAAGTAAAGCATTTTACAAAACCCATTAGAGAGACATGGGTAGCTGCGATATAGGCTTTCTATTTCCAAATCAATTTTTTTTATAAAAATGAAAACTAATTTTCAAGGGCAAGATATTATAGCAGAAGAAAACCTTCTCCTAAGAAAAGACTTAATTGTTTACAATGATCAAATCTCCATGCTATCTATATGACCCATGGCCTGAGCTCCATCGGAGGATCCCCTGAAGCAGAGGCTGGAGACCGTAGCAGTGCTAAGAGGAAGGATTCCTAAGCATTTATAAGGGGGAAAGCTGTGTGCCCAAACTTGGCTCTGGTTGTCTTTCATAGAGAAAACAAACTTTGCAGCACCCTTACTTCATCAGAGTTACTTTATGGTAGGCTATGAGATGGACAAGCCAGTTGCTATAAGACACAGACTTCTTGCTTTTAATCATGACCTTCCCCCCTTGATGCTACCATCTTTCCCTATAGGACATATAGGGAGAGCATGTCAGGAGGAGGGAGCAGGGGAAATAACATTTCATTTCAGCTCCCTGATCCTACTCTTTGCTTAAGCTGATGTCTGTCCTACAAGCCACCAGGGGCAGGCCAGGGGTTGCAGCTAACTGCCAAGAGATGGGGCATAGGCCAGCAACAAGAACCACACGACGGTATCCCCCAAGGCCATTTCCCTGTCTTGCACTCTCACATTAATGCACACTAGTGTCAGAGTCCCTTGGATAGTCCCAGGCCGAAGGTAGTCTCTGAGTCAAAAGGATGGGCGGCCAGGTAATCCTTGTATTCACCATCGAGCAGCTGGGCGGCGTTCCTGGCAAACCAGCAGTCTATCTGCTCCTCCCCGTTGTAGATTTTCCTCTGTTTCCAGACCACTGGGACCTGGTGCCCTTTCACCTTGAGGACCGTTTCAGACTTCTCATCTGCCTTTGGGAATGGAGGACTAGTAGTGTTCCTGCTGATCCTGGCAGGCTCCTCTGTGAGTTTGGCATCCTGGTTCAGGAACTGACCTGAATGGACAGAAAAGCATCTGGTTTTAGTAGAGCGCAGGCCACATCGTGTAGGAAAAAAAATCTGACATCGATTCAGGCCTTCACTGACCAGCAAATGCACATGTGGTACCCAGAGGAAGGGAATTCATGATGTCAGAGGTTGACTCCTAGCTGGACTCTGCCAGAACCCACTCACGTCTTCTCCAGCGTAAGTGACAGAACACGTGCTTGGGGGCATATGGAGAGGAGAGACCTCCACATCTGGAAGCTGCCCTCTTGCTGACACTGGAGAGCTGCCTAACCAGTAAAAAGAGACAACCAGAGTCTCTTACTGCGCTGGGAGGGCAAGAAGAGGGGCAGATAAATAAGGAAGAGTTAGGCCTCCCCCTCTTTCCTCCCGGGTCATAGCACCCTCCATACTAGGTTTGTGGACTGTCCTGGGCCAAGAGTACAGAAAGCAGTCAGTTCAATTGGTTACTGAGTCACATCATCAGAATTCCCCAGGTCAAGTGAGGACGTCGCTAGGGCCAAGGATACCGGTCTGTGTCCGTCAGAGGGAGCTCACAGTTGGCAGGCAGTCCCTACAGAAATGTGTTCAGCTCAAGTGCCAGGACATCCTGCTTTCTAAACCGAGCCCGGCAGCACTGGCTCTTTACTTGTGGGCAAGGAGCCCGCACAAAACCGCACGTCCAAGAAAGCCAGTCCAAATGGACAGCCTGCTGCTGCTCACACAATGTGGGTGGCTGCCATGGAGGAATCGCCATGGCGCACAGGTGCTGGGCTGTGGACGGCCCCTTCTTTGTATCTTCTCGCTGAGAGTGAGGAACCAGAGGATTACTCACAGTTTCTTTGCTCACTTTCCCAGAAGGCCAGTGAGTGATAATTTGTTTACAAGCCCACTCCTATTCCAGAAAGTCATGAGGAGGCAAGAAACACAACTTTTGTGATATAGGTAAAGACCGGCTTCCCACCCAATGTCTCCATCAAGCTAACGTTATTGGCAGCACCAGTTCATTCAGAGCCGAGTGCTCTCCTCGGACCCCGCGGGGAGAGCAGCTGCTTACCTAAGAGTCCATGGCAGTTGCCAGAAAGGCCTTTGCTGCTGGAGATGTAGAAGCCCAGGTGGTCTCGCTGGTAGGGGGCTGGCTTTTTGTAGAGGTGAATGAGGATGACGAAGGCAATGGAGCCCTGGATGGTGACGGTGACATTGGCATTGGCAGACACTGACACCTCCAGCCCCCGACTCCCCACTACCATGCTCTGGTTGCAGGGGAGGACCAGCCTGTCCCCGCCATCCAGGATGACCCTGTGCGGTGTGATCTCCAAGTATGACCTCTCGGGCTTGTTGACAAGGATGGTGATGGTGCGGAAGTAAGTGCGTTGCTTCTTGTGGCCGTTGGGAGGAGCAGGGGCCCCGATTAATGCTCCATTCACTGTCACACCTGAAGGCAGAAGGGCAGAGAGCAACGGTTAGGAAAACTATCGTACTTTCATGCTAAAGGCATCCAAACAAAATCTCCTTCCTCCTCCGGCCTTATCTTTGTAGCTCTCTCACCATGAACTTTCATTCTCAAGTAGAGGTCACTCAATGCCTACAGAATGAATGAAGAAATGAATGAATGTATGAAGTTAGGAGGGAATTTCTTCCCCATGTTTGACCAGTATCTCAGGGGAGGGGAAGGATGATGTAGGTTTGGGTCAAGATGTAATAAAGATTAACAGATTGCATTCATTCTAGTATTTCTTTCGTTCTGACTGTAGGGACAAAGACACATACAGTACTTCTTATCTACCAGTTGCCACTGATTCTGATTTGGAGACACTGTGATGCCATGAGCAGTGTGATATCATATAATGCAAAGGTTAGAGTTATGCTTAATCCACAACTCAAGTTCTTCTACCTTCTAGGTGTGCACCTCTGGACAAGTCACTTTAAAACACCGAGCCTCAATGTCCTAATGTGTAAAAGGGGGCATGAAACCTAAGGGGACTATGGTGGGGTTCACAGGAGGTGACATATGTGCAAGCTGCCAATGGCCAGCAAATATAACTCTTTTTTTTTCCCCCCACTTCGCCATCATGAACGCACAGCAACTTTACTAGACCTGAGTGAGGCATGTGAGTCAGACCCCTAGCAATAGGTGTTGTCCAGACAGATGGCAATTCTACATCAAATGTTTGGGGCTGAATTAGATCATGTACATTAAGTGTATTTTGCTCTCAGCAAAGAGCCAATTTGCATTAATAAAATATTGCTACATGATTAACTCCTATTTCCTCTGCTTTGGGGATAATCTTCCCCTACATCTTGACTAGCAACTTCTTGGACATCCCAGGAGAAAATTGCTTTCTCTGGGCTGAAGGGTAGGGGGAAGGAAAAAGCTCAGCATGAGTAGAGGTCAAGTATTTCTACCTTAAGGCTACAAGCCTCTTCCACGGAGCTTCCCATCACGGACACACATTAAACACAGGAATGAGAGAATGGCTCAGGGATAGGAGGGGGAGGCACGTCCAGGGAGGGCACAGTTAGGCCTATCTCACTCCTGAGCCTTTCTGAGTTACAAAAAAAAGCTGAGATTTCGTTCTATGGCTAAAAAGGCCTGTAAGAGAGCAAGGTAGGTGAGGAGCTTAAAATCAGACATTACATAACTCCATCATCTGTGTCAGCATGCTGTGAGGCCCTCTGTCACCTAGCCTTCCAAGAAACTCATTTTCTTAGAACTGAGAAATGCCAGAATGTCTACTGCAAAACTTGTCCTCAAAAGTTGGGCTGCATGGCTGTCCACATTGCCATCCTGAGGCACTGTTATCTGCAAGTAACGAAAGAAGCTTTTTGTTGTTATTGTTGATTATAATCCTCACTGGAGGGCATGCTTTTTAATTTTAGAGAGAGGGGAAGTGAGAGAGGGAGGGAAGAAGGGAAGAAGGGAATGAGGGAGGGAGGGAAAGAAGAACATCAATGTGAGAAAGAAACATGGACTGTTGCCTTTTGTACACGCCCTGACTAGGAATAGAATCTAAAATTCTAGTATGTGCCCTGACTGAGAATGGAACCTGAAACCTTTTGGTGCACAGAACGACACTCCAACCAACTGAGCCACATGGGCCAGGGCCGAGGGAAGCTTTTTATATACCAATCTCTTTTACGTGGTCTCTCTATGGAACAAAGGGGATCAGAGCTATGCTTACACCCATGTTCTCTGTACACAAAGTCGAGTAATTAACATGGGGCTTAACATCTTAGTTATGGAGGAGCTGAGATAAATGAATTTAGAACATCCCACCACCACAGTTTTTGAATAGAAAGACATAATAACAATAATATAACACGAATTCATATAGCACTTATATGTTTTCAAAACAACTTCTGTTCCATTCTTTAATCAAATCTCTACAATAGACTGGTAAGACCAGTACATGAGCACCACTGTTTTACAGGAGAGGCAATATAAACTCTCTAGTTGAATAGTCAAGGCCACAAAATTATTTAAGTCAGAGAGCAGGGTTTCTAATAATGTCTTCCTGCCTTCAAGCCCAGCACACAGTCTAATTCCTTTAACTAATCATCAACAATCCTCACTGAGCATCTGTGAGGAGCCCCTTACATGTACATCCATCTCCGGAACAGTGGAGACATAATGTCTACCTGGCTCTTGCCCAGAGACCACAACAGAGGGCAGAACTTACCAGAGTCTGCATGATCAGAGACCAGCCTTAGGATGTCCCCGGGCTGCCCATCGATGTTGAAGCAGACAGTGAGCTTGCTCAAGGGGAAATCCACAACAAAATGGGGATCTCCATCCGCTGCAGAGCAGGAAAACACAGGAGAAAACAGAGAGGAAAGACAATTACTGAGTGTATTTTCCCAGGGATTAGTTATTTGATCCTGTCAGTGATCCTGAATGTCCAAATGAGAAAGATGTCTGGGAGGTGTAGTCACTCACCAAAGTTATGTAGTTAGTACACAGTAAAGTAAGGATTCGAATTCAGGTCCCCTAAATTCAAATATAATGCTCCCTTTCATCACACCTTGGCCAAACACAGACAACTAAGCTTTGAGAGGTAAAAAGTGGGAAACAGAAATGAAAGAAGGTTATTGCAATACTAGAGGCCCAGTGCACAAATTCATGCACCAGTGGGGTCCTTTCGTTTGGCTTGGAGGACTGACTGGGCAGGAACTGGCTCTCTGATATCCCCCAAGGGGTCCTGGATTGTGAGAGGGCGAGGGCCATGCCAAGTAACCCCATCAGTACACGAATGGGGTCAGGGAAGGATGCACGATGTTGGCCAGGTTGAGGGACCACGGGAGGGCTCCAGGGCATATCCAGCCCATCTCGCTCACTCCTGATCAGCCAGACCCCAGCAGCAAACTAATCTAGTGGTCAGAGCATCTGCCCCTGAATGGTCAGTATACATCATAGTGACTAGTCAACCAGTCGAATGTCTGCCCCCTGGTGGACAGTGTACATCATAGCAAGCAGTTGAATGGCCTTAGCATATCATTAGCATATTATACTTTGATTGGTTGAACAAACAACCAAGCACTTAGCATATTGGGCTTTTATTATATAGGATACCCCCTCTATTATGGAGCCTGCTTTCTTCAATTTCCAGTATGACTCCAATAATTTCCTTTCTCCTTTGACCACCAAGTGGAGAGTGCCATGGCACTAGGGACATTTATAGTGCCAGATGCACACAAGCGTTGCCCGACAGTAGTAACAACCAAGCCTAGCAGAGGGCTGGTGACAAGTGAAGGACACAGAGTCAGCAGGAACATGGCTAAGTGACAGTTCTCTGAGAGTTTCTTGGGCTCACACCACAGCATTTCTCCTCAACTCATCAAAATCCCTTTACAAGGAAAGCTGTTGCTTATCCCAAAAACTGGAGGAGAAAGTCATTACTCCACGTGCATCCAAAAGAAAGATTTTTTTGCATCCATCAGCACCTGTGTGTTCAAAAGAATTGCATTCTCTCCACTAGAGACTGCGTTTTCTATCCACACAGCTCATCCCGAGGAGGTCTCTGGTTTTATGAACATGCACATCCAGTACATCAGCAGCAAGACTTACAAAGAGAAGCGCACATTTCAAGAATCTAACCCAGCCTTTGTGTTGTTATCTCATCTGGATTTTTATTGTAATTCCAGAGAATTGGCCAAAGGAAATTTTATGGTATGTTTATCTATTCTTCCCTCTAAACCAGGGATTAAAAAATAATAAAATAATTTCTGTAAAACCAGCATGCCCCATATATTTGTAATACCAGAAGCTGAAGCACACATTGCTTCAGATCTGTAAAACAAATGTCTTTTAAAATCCACAATGATGAGACTGTGAGTCTACTACCCATCCTTCCATCGGGGCTATTGCCAGGCTCCTGGGACTGTTATCCACGGTGCTTATGTAACAGTTTAATGATGATCTTGATTCTCAGAACTGCCTCACGTTGCCGGCTTGGGCTAAGAATATGGGTCTCGGTGTCACATTTCTATGAGCTAGTATTTTAACTGGTTTCAGGGCATTCCTGGTTGTCCACTTTCTACACATGCAAATCACATACATTGTTTTCCTTACCTGATGTTCTGGAAACTTTAATTCTTGGGTTATATGGTTTCTTGAGAGTAGATCCTATAAAATAAAGGAAAATAGCAACCACTGTTATTCATTAAAGAGGATGAAGTGAGAGATATGAGAGGAGAGTATTGAGATGAGTAAAATATAGTTTTCAGATACATTCATAGCAATTTAAAACATTATCTGCTTTTTGTTTGTTTGTTTGTTTTCCCACAGAGATATTTGTGTGTATGCTTTTTTTTTTTTTAAATGGGTTATACTATACATGCTGAGTCATATCTTGCTTTTTTTCAGGTTGGACCAAATGCTTAAAAGGGAAACAATTCTATAATCCAGGCACAATAAACATTCAAATTCTATTCTGGGAATCAGTATTCCTGCATTCCTTGTCTTAAATGGCGATCCAGGGGTAAAAGTAATAATGATTACCTTGTAATTGTGTGACCCTTTGTCTATTCAGAGCTTTTAAACATATAGTATCTTGTTTGACACCCTCAGCAACTTTGAGGGATGACTTAAAGAAGGAGCGTGGCCTTACAACACACAAATGAAGGTGCAACAAGTGGAGGCTTAATTACTTTATGCTTTAATAAATTAGATAATAGTCTTTTTGTCTGTGATTTCTGTGCATATACTGGAGGGAATATTCCATCTTAATTCAGGTGTAGTTATAGGAGGAAGGAAAAAAAACATTTGTTTAATGATCCAGATTTCAGATTTGCAAGATGAAAAAGTTCTGTTAATCAGTTTCACAACATTAATATACTGACTGCTACTGAACTATACACTTACAAATTATTAAGAAGGTAAATTTTATGTAATGTGTTTTGTACCATACTTAAAAAAAACAGAGAAAAATGTAAAAGGAAATTAGAATCCAGTGTCTATTGTTGTGTGTATAAACACAATCCATTAAGCAGCAGGCAAAAATAAATGATCAATTAAAAAATAACCCAAAAGTAAATTAATTTCTACAAATAAAATAACATTAATATCTTATTTCAAATTGTTTGTATTAATAAAATTATGCCCCTCTTAACTAACATTTGCCCCTCACAGAAATTAAAGATCAAAGGATTGCAATGCTTCTATGTGCCCCTATCTTTCCCACACTGGTCCCTGGCCAGCAGGACCGGGCAGAGTCGGGCAGACCACAGGAAAGCAACTTCTCAATTTGGATGGCTGATGTGAGAAGCCTTAGTGAGTGGCAGCTGCCACAGACACTCAAAAAAGAAAAAAAGAAATAAATAAAAACTCATCAAAGCTTTAAGAAAACAAAGATTGTCCTAAGTACTAACTTACGCTTTAGGAAAATTCAATTCCAAACAATTTTTTTGAGCTATCAGTTGGTTATTTCTTCATAGGGCTAATTCATAGCATCACACAATTTGCTTTTCATCAGAACTAAAATTGCACTGGTTTTGCCAAAACAAGCTCCACTCTTTCTAAAAAGGCAACATATCACTTTTAACCTCTACATCACTTTTCAATACATGTCTAGTTCTACATTCCTCAAAGGGAGAAATTTTAAACATTTGTTGAACTCTCATATATGCAAAAACTTTACACATTCAATCCTTGCAATGGCCCTTCAGGGAAGTTATTATCTACATTTAACAGGTGAGGGAGTAGAAGCTCAGAGAGGTTCAGAAACTTACTGAACCTCACAGCTGGTCAGGAGAGCTGGTGAGCTGAAAGTCAGCTCTTTCTGGATTCTAAATGTATGCTCTCTTTACTACATCTAGAGCTTATCAGAGTTTGTGGGTTGTTTTTTTTTTAAATATATTTTTCTTGACTTTAGAGAGGAAAAGAGAGAGATAGAAACATCAATGATGGAAATCATTGATTGTCTGCCTCCTGCACACCTCCTACTGGGGATGGAGCCCAAAACCCAGGCATGTTCCCTGACCAGGGAATCGAACTAGTGACCTCCTGGTTCATAGATCAATGCCCAACAACTGAGTCACACCAGCTGGGCTCTTCTAGGAGTTTAGAGTGTGAGGAATAAATGAGACAGCATTTGCAGGTCCAAGGGTAATATCTCCCCCTTCTGAGGAGATGTGAACTTGACAGAAATTTAATGAAAATGTTACACATACAAAAAAAAAAAAAAAAAAAAAAAAGGCCGTTTTCTACAAACAGATACTACTGAGAATGTAACCCTCAGTTTTGGTTGAACTAATTTTCTTTTCCATTTCCTGTTCTCCTTGCTACTATTTCCCCCATCAAAATGTCACTGAGACCTTAGACAGTTACTGTTTGGAGTCTGAGTGACAAGTATAAAAAAGGTGAATTCTCTCAAGAATCAGGAAATCAGTTCTCACCTATGTTCTCAGGAAAGTAAATCTAGCATACACATAAAATGATATAACTCTGAAGTACTTAAATATGTGGAAAGGCACTTAAAGAGTGAATATGGTCTATTTGTTTGTTCATCTTGGTGCCTCCATTAATGACTGGCAAATGTTGGGCATTCAATATTGGTGATTGATGGATGGATAATTTTCACCAGGCAACCTTTCTAAGACAACTGTCATCCTCTCTAATGTCTCTATAGAGATCCACAGTTTATAACAGTACAAACACAATAATTGAGCACATGCCCTGAAAACTAGGAGCTGCATGTGGGGTTATTGCTTATAAAATTATAATGCCACAGAATAAAACAAACTCCTGCTGAGGTGACTTTGCCTGAGAAGGAGGCAGAAAGGTCATGTTAGGCTCCTACATTTGGCCATCCCTGGAGTTGGTTACCTGGCTGCAGGTTGGAGCCTTGCAGACTCTGCACCACTGTCTCAGGCCCTGTTGCAGCAGACATGCCATAGCTGTCCTCCAGCTTCCTTGTCTGCAGTGTGGATTTCTTCAACTTCATGGAGGTGAACGGGGTGAGGAAGCGAGAGTTCACGGCCAGAGCCTGGGCCTTCTGCCTCAGTCGCTCCTTCTCCTGCTCGTCGTCATTCTGCAGCCAGGAATTTAGCAGCTCCTTTACGGTCAGGTAGCTCCAGAGACGCTCAAGGTGGTTGGGGTCCTTCTCGCCATCACCGTTGGGCCTGACACTTCCTATGACATCATTCCCCACCTTCTGGGGCCCCACAGGCACATCTGTCTTCAGTATGACAAATTTCTTACTGTTGCTGGCCCTGACTTCCACGTGCAGTCGATCTATCTTCTTGTCCATCAGCTTCCCAGCAATGATGATCTCTGAGCCATTGAAGTAGTTGGGGAAGAAGGTTCTGGTAGCCTGTTCCACAGAGCTGGGTGGGTAATTGATGTGAATGTCAGAGAGCAGAGGGGTCCTGATCTCATCATAGAACCTGGAGTAAAGAAAGAGAGTGAGAGAGAGTTAGGATCCAGCCCTGACTGCAGGCAGCGCAGATCCTAAAGGAAATCATGGGCTATTAGAAGGGTGAGCTTATCTTAAAAGCAATCAAATCCAACTTCTACCAGCAGAACAATGCTCATAGGAGGCTATACAGCAGTAGCCTGAACACCGCTGGTGATCAAGAACTTTGCCTCATTACGCTTCCTCCTCTCTTTCAACTGCTCAGAGGAGGAGGAGGAACCTCCTTGTAGTAGATCACAGTCTTCTCCCTGAAATTTCCACCCACTGGTCTCACTTTTGCCTTTGGAATAGCACAGCATGAACTAGCATAATCTGTCTTCAACGTAACAGCTATTTAGGGGCGTGGCAAACACTGTTCCTAGGCATCATCTCTATGCAGTCTAATTAATTTCCAGTTTCATGAACTCTTCTTCAGATGACATGATTTCAAGGTTCCATAACCACCCTCAGTAACTTTCCTTTGTACACACCTAAGTTTCTCAAAACTTAAAAAACATTTTAAAACATTTTTCTTAGAATCAAAGACATGTTGCCTCTTAAAACATTTTTCTTAGAACCAAAGACATGTTGCACATATGCTTTAATAAGCACATTATACTTGAGAAATCTGACCTTGACCTTGCCACTATGCTTTTGTGTAAAGCAGCATTTGCTTACATTAGCTTTTCTTCTATATAGTTACACCACAAGCTTGCTACCTTTTGCATAAAGAGGCAATTAAAATCCCTTTCCAAAAATCTAAAAAGCATAGGCTGGGCATTAGACTTTCACCTCAGTTATTTACTTGCTGTATGTCTTGGGACACATAACCTCACCTCTCTAAACTTCAGTTTCTTCCTCTATAAAATTGGAACATTAATAGAACCACTTTGGTAGACTACTGTCTCCCCAGACCCAGTCTCCCCTTCTTTCATAATAAATTAGTTTTAACTTGATGAAGCCCATCTAGCTACAAACTACATTTCTAAGCCTCTATTCTTGCCAAATATGGTCATATTAACCCTAATGGAATAGGAGTGGAAACAATATGCAAAACTTCTGTAATTCTTGCATAAAATAGAATGGCTTGCTCTGGCTTTCTTTCCTTTCCACACTTTCAGAGTTGGAATACAGAAGTCATTATGACCTTATTTCAACCTTGCGGTTAAGAACAACATCTAAGGGGTTAGAATGGTAAAATGGAAGGAACCTGAGTCTCTGAATGACCTCATGGAGCCAAACTGAGCTGTGCAGACTGTTACAGGAGAAAATCATCTGCATGTCAGCTTAGCCTTTACCCTCAAATCCTAGGAGTGGGTACTCCTAGGATTTCTGCCTGAAGAAATGTCTGTCATATTGTAAGTTCTCAATAAATGTTGGGTTGTCACAATATTTTTAGTAGTATGGGAGTGCAGTCCATTTGTTTCAATGTATTGTACTAGCTTTTACTTATGGACACATTATTTTTTTAATGTATTAAATTCTCCCTCTTTTAATGTAGTTTTGAATGATTTTGAAAATGTGGGAAGCTAATCTGTGTTTTTATTTAAATTTTGACAAAAATGTTGGGTAAACAATGATGGCTAGCTTCATCTCAAGGGCCTATCTTTATTTTTCATCTTATAGACCTCTAATTAGATTTATCATTAATGAATATTCTTTGATTATGGCTGTTAAGCACCTATAAAGGTACCTGAAGCTCACTTTTTCTTTTAAGTAACTACTATTTATGCCACAAAGTGGATTAAAGCAATAGTGCTGAGCTGGAAGTCATTATGTCATTGAATCAACAGCAAAGTTATACCCCATGTTGACAACATGATATCAAAGGGAAGGAATTGAACTGAATTAGAAGACCTCACTTCCAGCTTCTTTTCCATCTCTCCCTCTCTCTCTCTCTCTCTCTCTCTCTCTCTCTCTCTCTCTCTCTCTCTCTCTCTCTCCCTCTCCCTCTCCCTCTCTTCCCTGTGCCCTCTCACAATCCAAGACACCTTGGGGGATGTCAGAGAGCCAGTTTCGGCCCCACAGACCAGGCCATGGGATGTCACCAGTGCATGAATCGTGCACCAGGCCTCTAATATGCATATAAGTTCTTTGCTTAATCTCTTCCTGCCCTCCCCTCTCTTCCCTCCCCTCTGAGATTCATCAGTCTGTTCCATGTTTCCATGCCTGTGGTTTCTGCTCCTGAGTTGAACGTCTGCCCCCTGGTGGTTTAGTGTGTCATAGCTACCAGCTTGTTGGCCAGTTGGCCAGTCACTTAATCTTTTATATATAGAGATATGATCAGGAACTAGTGTCAAATGGTCACTTCGCTTCCAAATTAAAATATGATAATTTTAATTACTATTCAACATGGAAATAACTACTTCTCCTAGCTACTGAAGAGAGTGGAATTAGAATAAATATAGCAGGAAGTGCTTTGAGATGTCAAGAAGACAATTATAATCAGAATAGCTAGTTGAATACCTAACACATGATAGCCATTCTGCCAATATTTTATACAGGTTTTCTCATTAAATTCTGTCAACTGACCATAATCCTCACTCTATAATGAGGGAACTTAAAATCTTGCCTAGAGTCATAAAACATAACCAGAATTTGCAGCCAGACCTGCCTAATGGATTTCAAACCCCATTATGACATCTCCCAGTGTAATGAGTTATCGTCATTTCCAGGATACTCAAGGCTAAGGTGCAGCTAACCATTCTCATTTCTGAGTCTCTTGTAAAACCCAACCCTTAATCCCCTTCTGAGAGCCTCTCATCAGTATCCCAAGAAGACAAGCAAACGGACCCAATGAGCTGTGAGCCTGCATCCTCCTCCTCGTGAACGCGCCGTGTGAGGCCACAGTTCTCCAGCGACAGTTTCTCCAGCAGTTTGAAGTCCACGTCATTCCCGATACCAATGGTGAAAATGCAGATTTGGCCTCGGGCGGCCTCCTTGGTGTTGTTGAGAATCTTGAGGGTGTGAGTCTCCCCAACAGTGGGTTTCCCATCCGTCAGGAAGATGATGAGGGACACGGTGCGGTCTCCAATGTCATTGTGAGCCACGTAGTTGTTGAGCAGCCTGATGCCCCTCTGCAGGGCCCCATTGATGTCTGTGCCTGTGGGACCAAAACAAGACAGCTCAAGCTTGTGTCTGTCTCCTTAGCCTGGCTGCACATTCATGGCTGTGGTTTACTCACAGCTGTTCGAGAATTAGCAGGAGTGGCATGTGGAGAGAGGAGGAAGAAACCCCCAGGCATCTGGGGTGATTCTAAGTCACTCGGCCTATCTAGAAACTTGGCAACTGTTTGTTAAGTACTTTAAACATCTTAACTCATTTTATCCTAATAACAACAGCATTTGTTATCCCCATTTAACAAATTAAGAAATGGCGGCTACAGAGATTAAATGACTTGTGGATGGTGGAGCTGGATCCAAATCCAGCAATCTGACTTCAGAATCTATGCTCCCAACCTTGATGCTTCACGTCTTTGAGAGGAGCAGATTTATTTTCTGTCCACCTGCAGAGGTTGGGGCAATGAAGTGCCAAGAAAAAAATAGAGGGAACCATAAGGTTTTTAAGGTTTGGATTCCAAAACATAATACACACCAACCAATTGCTAAAGTTATATCCCCCACCTCCACGTAACATTTTAATTGTAATGTGAATGTAACATACATATGTCAGGGGCTATGCTAGAAGCTGGGGGATATAGAATATGAAGAGTTTCTGATCAAGGACTAGACAGCCTTGTCAACTTCCTGCCATAGATCAATGCTATAATAGTGCATAAAATCTAATCTAGTATTTCTCCCATCAATTGGTAAAAGAGTTCCTAAATATCACTGTGACGGAGACTGGTAAGAAACCCCATTGTAAGTCAAAGTTCAGTCTAAGCAAGATGAAGTTCCAAATGGAATTCATGTGGGAAATCAGAACTTTGACTTAGAGAGGAAATGATGAATGTAAGACAAATAGAAACTCTCAATGGAAGAAGATTGAACTGGATGTGTCATAGGTTTCCAGATGACCACCAAAGCAGAATAACTGAGACAACAAGTAATGGTATCTCTGTGAATGGCCTTTAAGAAAGTGGGAAGGGCCCTGGCCAGTGTGGCTCAGTTGGAGTGTCATCCTGTACATGGAAAGGTTGCGGGTCTGATTCCTGGTTGAGGGATCAGTCCTATGTGGGGTGTGAACAGGAGGCAACCGATTTATGTTTCTCTCTCACATCAATGTCTCTCCCTCTCTCTATTTCTCCCTTCTCCTCTCTCCAAAATTAATAAACATATACTCAGGTGGAGCTTCAAAAAAAGAAGGAAGAAAGGAAAAAAGGAGGGAGTGATCAGGATCAGTTCCAACAAACACTCCAATATTGAGCACCTGCCATGTGTCCCTTGTATTAATGATGAAGATGACAGCACGAGTAAGACCCAGGCCCTGAGTTGAAGGAACTTACATCTAGCACAGCCGGGTAACATTAGCACACTGTTCTGATAATCTAGTTTTCTTAGAATTATGTATGACCTTTCCCTCCTCTGCACACTAACCTGGCACCAAAGTGTGCAGACTCGGAGCCCATAGCACTTCCCATCCACGCCTCTCGCAGGCCCCTGGGACTCCTACTCTGCTCATGTTTCAGCCCCGCCGAAGGGACTAAGGTGCAGTGGCACAGTCCCACCTGCTGCTTCCTAAGTTGCTAAGATTTAAGCACACAACACACTGCCTCATCTAGTTGGCTTTAATTCTACACCCTAAAACAATTTACAAACCCGGCTTCATTGCTTGGGACCCATGAGATAAACCAGGAAAGGTTCCAAACCCTATCAGGTATTCCCCCCGCCCCCCAATAACTTACTTGACCATCTAGTCCAGGCCTGGAAGAGGAGAATTTACGGAATCGGTGTTCGGAGAAACCTAAGCTTCTGGGAAAGTGCTCAGCTGTTATCTCCTTTCCTGTGATAGCTCCAGCATTCAAATCTTCGTCTCTTGGCAGAAAATTTAGCTACTCACTTATTATCACGTCAAGCTAACGTGAAAAGAAGGACTCATATTTACCTCCGGTGGGCGACATGTGGTGAATGTAGACTTTGCCGTCTCTGATATTGTTGGGAGTCACTGATACCAAATGGTCCTTCCACACTTTGATTCGGTTGGAAAATCCAATGATATTGAAGCGGTCCTGGGGTCGGAGGTCATGGAGGATTGTGAAGAGGGCATCCTTGGTCTAGGCAAATGCAAAACCAAAATCAGCCACATCAGCTGCATTAGTGCACATGTCCCCTGACTTAGAAACTGCACACCCTGCACGAAGTCAGGATTAAAATTAGGTGCTGACTCTGTAAAGGGCACTTGTATAAATGTCCAAGTAACAATTATTTGCTTTATATATATTTCCCTTTATTGTAAGAGCTTTTTAGGCACGTTCCACTCATCTTTGTAAACTCACTACATTCAGGAGGTACTAGAAAGATTTAGTGAATGATTGAATAAATAAATGGGCAGACATTTAATTAATTAGGAGATCAAAAGTACAAGGAAAAAATGCTGTAGGATTTTTAAAAAGAGAAAAAACTGGGCCTGAGTGACATTAAAAAACTTCACTGAGAAGCAGGAGTATGAGGCTTAAAGGAACTGGGTAACGTGACAGCGAGGGAGGGCATTCTGCAAGGAGCAAAGAAGACAAAAGAGATGGTTCAAGCAAAGCAAAGAGGGGAGATAGGTGAGTCTGGGCGCATGAAGTGGATAAGAGGTACAGGAAAGAGACATGACTTGTGGAGAGAAAAGAAAGACCACATGAAACTGAAAACAGAAAAGTCCTAGAAATCTGGCTAAGAGTTTCTAAAATAATCAGCCCTGTGTTGAAAGAAAGCGCTGCCTTCTCTAAACATTATTGTTGTTAGTCATTTAAAGTGATTCATGATATGAAGCAAGGAGACCTCATTACATAATTGCCTTAACCCTGACATCTGGCACCTTTTACAGGGATTGAAAGCACAGACTTCAGAGCAGACAGTCTGGGCTTGACCTTCGATCATCACGTATCTCTGGTGGCCCTGGGGCTCTGCGTAGTAAGCCCTATCACTACCCTTTTGCTCTGTGCCTAAGTTATCCCACCTGGAAAAGCAAAACAGTAATAGTGCCACCTCATCGGGTTGCCACAAGGATTAAATCAGTTACCAGCAAAAAATATTCCTAACAGGGCCAGGCCCACAGTAAGTTATACACGTGTCTGCTCGAACTTGCTGGTAGGTGGGGAGCAGCAGAATCAAAGAGAAAGAATAACCTCTTCTAAGGAAATATATGTTTACCTTGAAAATATTTTACAGATCTTTTCCCAGATTCTATTAGCCTTTGCTTTATAAGCAGCTCAGTCAGTGCTGCCCCCTCAAGCTGCACTTCCCCTCTGTGAAATAGTCATGACTTCTTTTCCCTTCTGAATGTTCCCTCCCCTTGCCCCTAGTCTTACTCTTCAATCTTGTATCCAATTGCTCACTCTAATATCTCATCGTCCAACCCTCGGATGTCATAGGAACCTCAAAACCCACTCTAGAAAACTAACCTAGATGAACTTATTTTTAAATCTGGATATTACATTCTTGTAGTAAATGTACAGTGTTTGTAGCCTGAGCAAACAGATGTTCCCTTAACATTCTCCTTGTGGATCCTAACTAAGTGAATGAAGTTGTGCCTCAATTTCCCCCGATCTTCATTCCCAGGTCAAGAAAGCAGTGGAGCGTAATGAGATCATTCGCAGCACAATAATGATGATACTGGCAGCTAACTTTTCTGGGAGCCTCTTACTCCTCAGGTATACGCCAAGTGCCAGTCCTTTCCATATGATGATGCGATGGACCCATTTAATCCTCTCACAGCCCATCCAATGGAGAGTGAGTGTTCATATTTCCATTTTGCAGGTGAAGCGGCTGAGGCATGAAAGAGTTAATGAAGCATCGTGCCCTCTGGGAGCCTGGATGAAGATCCAGGAAGTCAGACCCCAAGGCCAGCTCTGACACCAGCAGCAGTGGAATATCAGCCCCTAGATGCTGGCGCTGAGCGTGCTCTGAGTTATATCCCTTACAATGTGCAGCTCATTTTGGGATTCCTTCCAGGTCCCTGCATATTGAGGGCTCTGCTTATTTCTTTGTTTCTTTCACTTGGTTTCTGGCAGCAATTAATGGATTCATTTCCTATAACATCCTTGCAGAAAGCATCCACCCCGAGATGAGAACAAAGAATCCATTTTATTAAATTCATCCTCACATCCTACAGAAGGTTTGTCCCGCCCACAGGCCCTCCTCTCCCCCAAACTGCCCCCAGGTCTTCCGTGAGAAAGAATGGCAATGGCGGGGCTTATTTTCTTTCAGAATCTTGGAATCCCCCTCCAGACTCTGTTCCCTCCTCTGGAGGTGGGCCGTTCCTCCTTCTAACCCATCATCCTGGGTTGTTCAGAGGACAGACTCACTGGCAGCCAAATTTCCTGTCCTTTCCCAATCCTGACTCCCACCTTCAGGAAATGTGTATAAGGATCTTATGAAAATAAGCAGATTCCCACACCCAGAGTTGGTCAGCTCAGTCTGGATGCCATTGAAAGGATCTGTGCTGCTCTCTCCTCTGGCTCCCCTGGCTTCCCCCTGGATGCCTCTTCTCAGAACAGCTCGCCTTGCATGGCTGCGTCCTTCTCAGACCAGCCTGGGATGCTCTCGGCCCCCTCACACTACGTACTTCCCCGCGGCCAATGATTGCATGACTGACTTTCACGCTTACCCTCAGAGCTCACCACTCTCATGAGGCCCAGACTAAAGTGCCAGCCATAGGTCCTGCATGGCCCACAGGCACTCAGGCTCAACATGTGGAAGACTGGAAGCTCTGCCTCTCTCCCCAGACCTTCCCTCCTCTGCTGCCGCTCCCAGCCAGGGGTCCAGGTCAGAGACCAGACAGCTTTCTCCTGCCCGCTCAGGCACCTCATGCCCTTGGGCCCATCTCTTCTTGTAAACCCTTCTCTTCCTAAACATCCCTAAGACCGTAATCTGGGCTCAGGCCACTTCTGCTCTAGATTGATAACAAAGATTCATTTCTTTAAAAAAAAAAAAAAATCAGAAGAAAAACATATGACTCACAAAATTCCCCTCACCTAGACAGATGTTGTACTACATATTCCTTCAGAAACCTTCCTGTGTGTGTAATTAAAGTAAAATGGGTTCATTCATCATGTTATAACATTTTTATTTACTATATCACATAAAGTTTTGATGCCCAGAGGTAGAGGTCTACATATCATTTTAATGGTGACACTATATTCTACCCTATGCATGTACCACGATTAAATATTTTGAATATTTATTTTTTATTTTCTTCATCCTCACCCAAGGATATTTTTTCCATTGATGTTTTGAAAGAGTGGAGGAAGGGAGTCAGGGAGAGGAGGATACAGAGAAAAAGAGAGAAAAAGAGCAGAGAGGGAGAGAGAGAGGGTGGGGGGAAAGGGTAATAGGGAGAGAAAAAGAGAATACAGGGATTGGTTGCCTCCTGCATGTGCCAGGGATTGAATCTGCAACCCAGGTATGTGCCCTTGAATGGGAATTGAACCCGAGACCTTTTGTGGTTAGACCAGCACTCTAACCACTGAGCACACTGTCTAGGGCAATATTTTGCATATTTAAACAGTACTTCCATGAAACTCAGTATTCACACATCTTTGTGCCATTGTTATTTTCTTAGGATAAACTCGCTTCACAGAAAGGGTGTGACAAAGGGCTGTACTTTTAAAGGGCTTAGCCTGTCCACACATTGCTGCCAGAATTACATTTTTTATCCTTCTCAGCATTTAGTTCTGGTCTTACACGTCATTTCCTAAGAAAGCCCTTCTTGTCTCCCACCACCACCCCACTATTCTCTCAATCATGGCATCCTGTTCTTTTCCTTCACAACATTTATAGAGAAAGTGTAATTACTTATCTGTGCATTTACTTTTCTATCCAACTCAATCCTACGCTTCTGAGTACAGAGACTTGTTCCATTTTGCCACTCTATCTTAATGCCCAGCAGTGCCTGAGCACGTCACAGGTACCTGATGCATGCCTCCTGCGTATGTGAATGGGGAATGATTGTCTGTCTGTCACTAGATAGGGGGGCTGCTCAAGACAGCATGGTATTTCACACACTGTAGGCTATCAGTGGGTGTCTGGTGAATGAGTAAAGAAGAGAGAGGTAGAATTCTACTAAGTGAACACAAAGGAAGGGAGACACGCCCCTGCCCTTGAGAACCTACAGCAGAGAATACTGAGAATGAGGATGTGTAGAAATCATGGCCAAATAAATAAGTCTGGCCAAATAAATGGCCAAATAAATAAGTCTGATAATGACTGGCCAAATAAATAAGTCTGATAATTACAATAAGCAGATGTGGGTGGAGTGCCCGAAGTGTTGGTACTGATGGCATTAGCCAGGGGATTGGCAACACTTTGCCTCCTCCCCCTTCTTTCAAGTTAGAGCCAACACAGCCCCAGCGTGAGCATCAGATGGGCTCGGCGTCATTCCCAGCAGAAGGCCTAGACCTCCGGAGAGCTTGAAGGTCCACAGCTGTGACAAAGCAACAACAAGCAGTGGCCACCTCTGAGAAAGCACCATTGGGAGCCCAGCTCTAGGCACTTGGAGAGATTCCCACTGCTCCCTGTTGGAGCTCAGAGCTGGCCAGACACCCAGAAGATTGTTATTTGTTTAGCTGCTGGGCCCTTAGGAATCCTTATTTGTTTAGCTGCTGGGCCCTTAGAAATAGTGTGCTGTTTTTTGTTAGCTGCTGTTATTTGTTTAGCTGCTGGGCCCTTAGAAATAGTGTGCTGAAGACCTCCTGAGTGCCCCGCGTGGCTCCTTTGCCAATATTCTCCCCCATTCTGATGGATATTCTGCTTTTGGAATAGTTGTCCAAGCCTCTCCATCCTCCTCCCCTTAGCACAGCAACTACGGATTCCTTATGACCTTGTAAGGCCACAGCTGCAACTTAACCTTACATGAACCAAAGCAAGACAGCCAGTGGGCTCAGAGCTGCTCCTTTTCCAGATGCATTAGGACCTTTTGGATGGCCTTCCACCCTCATCCCAATGGGGCCTGGGCAGAAGCTGCCACTGATGCTTGCAGCCACCACCATCCATTAACCCTTTACAGGCTCCGACCCTCTCCTGAGATGGGCTGGTGGCCCTAGGAATTCTGCTTCCTGTAGCGAGCTTA